AATAGCAGTTATGTCACATGCCTCTTCGTTTATGCCCTCACTGGGGAGGCTGTCATAAAGTGCCTCCTCTGCAGGCCTAATGCTATGATGTGTATTTTGACAAAAATACTTTCTGGGGGCCATGAAAATAAAAGCACCATAAAATCAGAAGGGAAGAGAGTATAAATTGCACTGAATGAGTCCCAGCCCAGCTTCCCCACTGCACCTCTGCGGATATGGCCTGACTTCTCTGTCGCCTGCAGCTGCTTCAGTGACTAAAGGTCCAGGAGCCTGGTGATAGGACAATCAGTACAGTAGGGTTGGCCCAGAGCAGGGGTCCTCAAACTATGGCCCGCGGGCCACATGCAAATACAAATATTGTATTTGTTCCCGTTTTGTTTATTTACTTCAAAATAAAAGATATGTGCAGTGTGCATAGGAATTTGTTCATAGTGTTTTTTTTAAACTATAGTCCGGCCTTCCAGTGGTCTGAGGGACAGTGAACTGGCCCCCTGTTTAAAAAGTTTCAGGACCCCTGGCCTAGAGGGCCTGGGAAAGGAGGGGAGGGAGGAAAACCAGCCTTGTCCTAGACAGGACCCTGAATGTCAGTGTGTGTGTGTGTGTGTGTGTGTGTGTGTGTGTGTGTGTGTGGTAGGTTAATGTGTTGATGTTTGGCCAGGAGGTGATACGGGGTTCCTGGCTCCTATATTCTAAAAGGTAGCTGCCACTGCTCTTATGAGGCATTGGTAGGAGCAGGTTCACCCTTCTTACTCACAGTAAAAGCAATAAGTAGGCAATTACATTTTCCCAAGGTGCATGGGAGCTTCTTGGCTCTAGCGAAGCTGTGCTGGTTGATGGAGTTAATGGCAGGGAGCTAGAGTTTTGCATCTGGGTCCAGGTTTATTTTCATGTTCAGAGAGAGATAATGACAGGGCAACCATTTTCCAGTTTTGTCAGCTCAGAGAGGTCACCCTCAGGCTTATTAGACGGTGAGCTCAGCATGCTAGAGGCTGTGACTTGCATCTCCCTGATGCAAGGGTTTTGTGAGCAGCTACTGTCCCCTGACCTCTCTGCCAAACAGTCGTCCTCACTAGCTTACTTTTTCTTACCCTAGAGGCCAAAGGGAGAGTCCACTTCTGGATTGTTGCCCACTAACTCTCTCCTAAGAATGAACAGCCAATGTGTGTTATGAACTAAAATCAAGATTGAAGCCTGGCTTGTTTGGCTCAGTGATTGAACATCGACCTATGAACCAGGAGGTCATGGTTTGATTCCTAGTCAGGGCACATGCCAGAGTTGTGGACTTGACTCCAAGTTGAGGGTGTGCAAGAGGCAAGCCGACCAATGATTCTCATCATTGATGTTTCTATCTCTCCCTCTCCCTTCCTCTCTCTGAAATCAATTAAAAATGTATTTAAAAAAATCAAGACTGAAAACGTTTGATCTGATGAGTTTTTGCATCTTAAACACCAACTCAAATATGCCCATTTTCAGGGTCATTGCAATGGTCTTCTGGGAGTGGGAGCTTCCTTGAATCTCTCTCTTGCCCGCCTCCAAATCATCTTGCTGTTACACAACCTTCTTACACACCTGCATCCCCATTCGATGCCTCTGCTCAGGGACCGGTCATAGCTTCCTATCTCCTTCTGCACAAAGTGGGCTCCCCTGCGGAGTGATCTGCTCTCAGTTGGTCCATCCAGCTGGTGTCCTGGCATGTTGCCTTCATTCTGCTCAGTCCAAGCTCCTCAGGGTTTCTCACTGGTGCAAGGCACTCCCATTCTGCCCTTTCTCTTGCTCTTCTGCTCATTTTAAAGATTCTCTACCCTCTTTCTTCCTTAAATAAATCCTGCCTATTTCTTGAGAGTGATTGTGAATCTTTCCTCTTTCAGGAAGGCTTCCCAGGCTGAACCAACCTTGGCTATACCAAGCACATGTTCCCTGAACTCCTTAGATCTACTAGTATTGTCACCAACTTAAATTTTAATTTACACAGACTTGGTAGTTTCACTAATTTCTTGTGTGCCCTGCATTAGGCTTTTGCTCAGCTTCACAGGAAGTGCCTGGAGGTAGAGATCAACCTTTCAATTACTTAGTGGGACAATTTGGTACATGAGAGAGGCAGCAGCCATGGGCACAGAAAACCAAAAAGCCTAGTTCTGCTACTTCCTATCTGCGGGATTTGGGGAAATTATTTCTCATGCCTGCTAGATTTCCTACTACAAGTGCAAGGACCCTACTTAAGGTAGACACTGCCTTTCCCCACCCCCACATGCTTCTCTCCTGGGCACAGTGCACACAGTTTAGGCCCCGGGCTATTCATTGATTTGCCTCTCATTTCTCCAACTACAGTGATCTTTAGGATTATGATAAATATTCAGCTCTTCTCTTCAGGGCACAAAGTATAATTATACTTCCCTGCCTATTAGGGATAGTCATGTGACTATTACTTGGTCAATAAAATGTGAGCATGACTGACAACTGTCACTTCCTATTGGAAGCATTAATATTTGGACCACGCATCAAAACATTCTCCTTCCCGCATGGTAATGGGGAAGTGTATTGTTCCAAATGGTGGCGTCTCCCTCAGCCTGCATCCCTGAGTGAAGGTGTGATGATGCCGCCAGAGCTCCCATCCTGCCCAAGAAGGTCATGAAATGAATCTCCAAGAAATGAATCTTTGTTATGTTAACCACTGAAATTTTTTTGTGGTTTTTTTTTTTTTTTAAATTAACAGTGTAACCTAGCCTATCCTGTCTGATATGCCATATTCCTTCGTCTCAACTTCTATTTCCCTTCTTTTGACTTTCTCTTTTTACTGATCTCCCTCACTCGAAAGGAGCAACCTGCAGTAGGAAGCAGCCTCTACTAAGCAATGCTAAGGGCAAAAGAGACGATTGGAGGATGGGTTCCTGGTACTCTCAATAGCAATGTCTTTATTTATTTCAGTACCAGGGAATTTCCTCTGCTCTTCTGATGGATGAACTTGAAGGTGTAAAAAAATATTTTGGCCTAACCAAGGCTTGGACTTTGATTCTGCAGATGGTAAGTCATTTCTTCCCCAACATATCCTTCTGATATTCACATCAACGTGCTACAGAATTATGTAGAATATTTAAAATGTTAGAAGCAATAACTGTAGTAAATTTGAACTGATATGACCTCCTGTGTGTCACTGTGATTTGTTTTTCATGTGTTACCTCACTAATATAATCTAAGATATTATAACCTCCAAACATTCCTTGTCAAATCAGGATCCAAGAATGTGAGTCTTTTATGATACATGGAGCAGTTAAAGCTGGTTTTGTTTCATCTACTATACTTGTTGAGAGATGTGAATAAAGACTTATTCAGAATCTCTGAAATGAATATCTGAGAGATCCATAGAAAGCAAACGTCCTCATGGAATTGGTTCACATTTCATACATTCTTACCCTTCTCATCTCCAAACATAGCTGCCCAACTATGTCTGCAGTAAGAATCTCTGACAGACATTCCAAGAAGAAAAAGAAGGGAGGAAAATGACTTTGCATCTAGGCTGAGAAGAACTAGATGACGGTGTTCTTCAGTCATGGATAACCCAGGCTTTTCTTTAATGAACTGACTTGGCTAATGCCATGCTATTATCTAACAGTGTGTCTGAGAAACAAGAACACTTGTTTTTCTCACTGTACGACATGTCTCAGATGTACTCAAATCAAGAGTAATTGTGGAACCCAAATCCACAGAGAACTCATGGTTTAAGTTAAAACCTAGTGAACAAGGGGGAACAAAGGAAAGAAATTTAAATGTTCCAACCACTTTGCTTGGTTGGAGATTGGGGCGGCCTAAATGGATGAAGGAATTTAGAGTAAATTCTGTTCCTAGAAGATCAGGCATAGAGAATCCAGTTTGTAGGATGCTACAGCTGTTTTTAGCTAAGGATTCTGGGTCAGTATGGTTTCTAGAAATATTTTTCATGGCAAACAAAATGCCACACACGAACTATATGAATTGTGTAATTTCCAGTGAACTAGCTTATTTTGTAGTAGCAACTGGGTGATGAAAATTACTGACTTCCTTCTCAATTTGGATGCTGGATATGAAGATTAAAGTTGTAATCATTTTTTATAAAAGTTTTTTTAAATTGACTTTTAGAGAGAAAGGAAATGGGAGGGAGAAAGAGAGGAACATCGATTGGCTGCCTCCTGCATACCCCTACCGGGGATCAGGGATCCAGCCTGCAACCTGGGCATGTTCCTGGACCAGGAATTGAATCTGAAACCTTTCTGTGCATGGGACGACATTCAACCAACTGAGCCACACCTGCTAAGGCTAAAGTTGTAATTTTTTAACTAAAGGAATCCCTGGAGAAGGTGATATAATAGCCAATTTATAGATGTGAGGGTTTAAATAGCCATGACCCAAGAGAAGTATAGCAATGTTGACACATTGAAAGGTGCCTTTTTCTCTCCGACTCAGCATAGGTGAACACACTGAATACAGAGATTATTCAGTCTTGCAGGAAAATCATTATGTTGCACGAATACTGAGGAGTATAACAAGCTTTGCAAACTGGAAAATTTTTCTAAGTAGAGTGCTTGCTAATGAAACGATTTAGGAAAAACGAAGGAGATGAGACAAAGTGAATAATTCCCTAGCTTTCAAAGTTATAAACAGGTTCATTTATCTCGGGTGGAGGAGGGGAAAGAAACTGGATTGGGGCCAGGAGACATGGGACTAAATCCCAGATCTGCCACCTTGAGCTGGGATACGGTAGGCAGATAATTCAACTTCTCTGAGCCCCAGTTTCCAGATCAGTGAAGCTGTTACAGAGGGTTGTTTTGGCAAACAAGTAATATAATTCATTGCAAAACACCACAATTTTTAAATATCAGAAATGTGAGAAGTTGTAATAGGATTGTCATTATTGTTGCTTTTAGCTTCCTACTTTTGATGGGTGTGTAATCAATGCCTGAGTGAATCCAATCTATGGTAAGTCTTTCCCCAAAAGATGGAGTGTGCATCTGCGTACACAGAGAATGTGAGTTGTTCTCCTGTTCTCAGATTTGTGTGTCATCCTTGCACAGGGGCCAGGCTATTCTCTACTGTTACAATTTTAGTACATGTGCTGCCCAAGCGAGCACGCTCCTGTTCTCATTCCGATGATTGATTTTGTTTAACTTGATTGGGCTAAGACATGTCCAAATAGTTGGTAAAACACTTTTTTCCGAGTGTGTTTGTGAGGGTGTCTCCAGAGGAGATTAACATTTGAGTTAGTAGACTTAGTGAAGAAGAGTATCTTCACCAGTGTGAGTGAATATGGCCCAATCCCTTGAGGGCCTTAATAAAACAAAAAGGTGAAAGAAGAGCAAATTTGCTTTCTTTGTTTGAACTGCCCTTGCCATTGGCTTCTCTGGTTCTCAGGTCTTTGGATTCAGACCTCCGGCTTTCCTGGTTCTCCAGTTTGCAGTTGGCAGTTGTGGGAATTCTTGGCATCCATAATTATGTGAGCCAATTCCTGTAATAAATCTCCGCTTTTGTATATCTCTATATATCTTGTTGGTTCTGCTTCGCTAGAGGGTTAGGGTTAGGGTTAGGGTTACATTACTGATGACCTAGAAAGACTAGAATATAGTTAAGTAGCTCCAAAGATCAACTAATCTGTAGGCAGTATTAAAAAAGGTAATGAAAACTCAACATAAAAGCCTTTCCTTACAACTTTATTCTATGTCCAGCACTGCTTTCTATATGTAAAATAAACATTTCAGGTGAGTTTGGGGAAGCTGGGAGGAGAGAGAGAAAGAGAGAGAGAGAGAGAGAGAATTCACTGCAGGGAGTGAGGACCAGAGGATAGAGAGACTTGCATGGGGAATTGAACCACACAGAGCTACCCTTTAGTCTGGGGTGAGGTAGCAGGGGATCCCAAAGCATGTTATTAAAGTCTACAAAAACATGAGTAGTGTAAATTTTGTTCAGCCAATTCCCTAGAGCTTCATTTATTTCATATGTCAATATAGGGATAATTTTAGAGCTTGAGGAAACTTTAGAACAAATCCTTAAAATATGTGTACACACAAAAGATAGCGAAAATTTCTAGTTCTGAGCCTCAGTCTAACTTATCCACTAATTGATCACCCTGCCAGTTACTTCTTCACATTTAATTTACCCTTCATATTGCAGCTCCAGATATGCTTCCAAAATGTACATCTGATTATGCCTACCCCAACTTTTGTGTGGGCTCAGGAAAATCATGTATATGGCTTTCTCAATCCATTTATAAAGAGGTGCAGTTGAAGAAGCTAAAGGCAAATGTTTTACTTTACAAATAAGACCATACCAACATTTTGCTTTAACCATGAGTATGGCCAGTAAGTTATCCTAAAATGTAACTTTCACATTGGTTATTGAAACTAAAGAACGGTGCAGAGAAACCTTGGGCTTCTAAGGGAAAATATTTTCCTTCTTTTTCTCATTTCTCTTATTAACTTAATGGACCTCAGAGCCAATTCTGTGGTCATACTGAGGGTGTGGCTACTGCTTTAGAGAAAGAGCCTGCTTCTTTGTTACACTCCTTTTGGTAGGGAAATTGTTCAGAACTTAAGACAGTTATAAGTGTGTCTTGTTGCCCTATAAGCTTTTGACATAGATCTCTTTAGGACATCACATAATTACAAAGCCACAAGGTATACCAGGCTGAAATTCATTCATGTCAAAGAAGTAGGAGAGAACCAAGATGGCGGCATAGGTTAACGCCGGAGTTTGCTGCTTTGAACAACTACTTCAAAAGTGAAACCAAAAAACGGAAGGGACATCACCCAGAACCACAGGAACGCCGGCTGAGTGGAAGTCCTACAACTAGGAGGAAAGAGAAACTCATACGGACACTCAGAGGAGGCGCAGTGCTGAAGTCAAATTCTGAGGTGCGGAGTGCGCGAGCGGGCTGGCGGTGGAGGGCGCGGTTGGCGTTTTCAATCGGGAGGGAGTCGCAGACTCTGAGCTCCAGATACGGGCGAGTCTTTAGCGACCCAGACTCAAACAGGAGAAGCGGGACTGTCTGGCTTCGGTCAGAGCGAGTGTAGCTTTCTCTCCGAGCTTTGCATCGGGTGCTGGGACTCAGAGGGGCAGAGCCCCTGGGGACAGGACTGAGAGCCGCCATAACTGCTCTCTCTGGCCCACCCTGTTGATCCTGTGCGACCCGCCCCGCCCAAGCCCCGCACACAGGCATTTGCCGGATAGCCTCAGGCAAAGGCTAGATTAGCACCTCCCTAGAGGACAGAAGTTCTCTCACTGCTGACACAGCTGATTCTCATAGCCACTTGACCTGGAGGTCAAACCCTCCCTGGAATTAACTACAACAATCAAGATTTAACTATAAGACTGCGAACAAAGACCACTAGGGGGTGCACCAAGGAAGCATAACAAAATGCGGAGACAAAGAAACAGGACAAAATTGTCAATGGAAGATATAGAGTTCAGAACCACACTTTTAAGGTCTCTCAAGAACTGTTTAGAAGCCGCTGATAAACTTAATGAGATCTACAAGAAAACTAATAAGACCCTTGATCTTATATTGGGGAACCAACTAGAAATTAAGCATACACGGACTGAAATAACGAATATTATACAGACCCCTGACAGCAGACCAGAGGAGCGCAAGAATCAAGTCAATGATTTGAAATGCGAGGAAGCAAAAAACACCCAACCGGAAAAGCAAAATGAAAAAAGAATCCAAAAATGCGAGCATAGTGTAAGGAGCCTCTGGGACAGCTTCAAGCGTACCAACATCAGAATTATAGGGGTGCCAGAAGATGAGAGAGAGCAAGATATTGAAAACCTATTTGAAGAAATAATGACAGAAAACTTCCCCCACCTGGTGAAAGAAATGGACTTACAGGTCCAAGAAGCGCGGAGAACCCCAAACAAAAGGAATCCAAAGAGGACCACACCAAGACACATCATAATTAAAATGCCAAGAGCAAAAGATAAAGAGAGAATCTTAAAAACAGCAAGAGAAAGAAACTCAGTTACCTACAAGGGAATACCCATACGTCTGTCAGCTGATTTCTCAACAGAAACTTTGCAGGCCAGAAGGGAGTGGCAAGAAATATTCAAAGTGATGAATACCAAGAACCTACAACCAAGATTACTTTATCCAGCAAAGCTATCATTCAGAATTGAAGGTCAGATAAAGAGCTTCACAGATAAGGAAAAGCTAAAGGAGTTCATCACCACCAAACCAGTATTATATGAAATGCTGAAAGGTATCCTTTAAGAAGAGGAAGAGGAAGAAAAAGGTAAAGATACAAATTATGAACAACAAATATGCATCTATCAACAAGTGAACCTAAGAATCAAGTGAATAAATAATCTGATGAACAGAATGAACTGTTGATTATAATAGAATCAGGGACATAGAAAGGGAATGGACTGACTATTCCTGGGGGGGAAAGGGGTGTGGGAGATGCGGGAAGAGACTGGACAAAAATCGTGCACCTATGGATGAGGACAGTGGGTGGGGAGTGAGGGCGGAGGGTGGGGCGGGAACTGGGAGGAGGGGAGTTATGGGGGGAAAAAAAAGAGGAACAAATGTAATAATCTGAACAATAAAGATTTAATTTTAAAAAAATAAATAAATAAAGAAGCCACATGGAAAAAAAAAAAAAAAGAAATTCATTCATGTCTTTATCTCATTTCACATTAGATGCATCCTCTTCATTTAAATCAGCTCATCAGAGGAGGAGGTGGAAGAAGGTAAAGGGGGAATAAGTGGGGTTGGGAGGAGACGTACCTTGGGGTGATAACCACACAATACAATATACAGATGATGTATTGCAGAACTGTATACCTGAAACCTGTATAATTTTATGAACCAATGCCACCCAAATAAATTCAATTAAAAATAAATTTAAAAAAATAAACAAACTCATCAGAGAGTTGAACAATGGGCACCAGATAACAGCACTGTAACATGGCTGAACTTTGTGACACTTTGAAAATAACTTGAGCCCGTGCCCCTGAAGGACAATTTACCTTTTCCAAAGAAATTAAAGCCTGACTGAATAAATCATACCTCCACAGAAAAATACTTTCTCAAACCAGCTACACAAGTATCTTCCCTCTACATGTTTTAGTGTGTAGTGCTGCTGTTCCAGAAACTGGACCTTCAGGTTTTGGTGAGAGTTGGAGTGAGCTCTATCATTTGTTCCTTTCCCCAACTTTTGCCTACCCTCACCTCTCATGTTCTAGAAGGCCTGAGTCAGCTTTGTTACTCGACTGTAGCCCCAACTCCCCACAAGTTATATTTACAACAACCCTTCCTTTCCTCCTCTAGGTCCTCTTTTTATTCTCCTCTGTTAAGACCTTTCTTCTTTCATGCAGGTTCAGCTCACAACTCAAGCTTGCTGCCTAGACTGGACTTTTTCCTCCTCTATTGTACAGAGGGCCAACACTTATATTTTCTGGGTTGGAAGGTCCTTTCTAACAGGTTTTGAATACAAAGAAAACATCTGTTATTTAAATTATTAGTTTTCCCTTTTTACTTTCTAATATCTCAGTTCCAAACCTCAATTGATAGTTTCCTGTTCACATACTAATTCTTGAAGACGTTCACTTTATTTCTGAGGGGTTTTTTTTGGCTCCTCTGAACAAACTCACACACATTTACGTTTGTTGCTGATTTCTTCTTTCACCGTGATTGAACCTGTGTTTTGTGTTTTTCTAATCCACAATCATTCAGTGTTTATCTACTGTTCATTGAGTCACCTTGAAAACACATCGCACAGGGGTCCATAGAGATTGGCAAGCTATAGAAATTTCTAGGTCAGTTCCTCTTCAGGTCTTTTCTGAACCAGAATTCAGGCATCAACATATGTAAAGAAAAAAGTAATATAGAACTGCAAATATATTCTTTCTTCACAGCCCGTTCTAGCATTAAAAATTCAGTAACTCCTACGCAGTTGTAATCTGTTCTTTTGAGACAGCAAAGTGTAATATAAATTTCAGAGCCATTGTTTCTTAGTTGCTTCAAGGGATTGGGTGAGCTTATAACAATCCTGAAGACACTGTGGCTGTGGAAAAGGTATTGCAGGTGTTTGTAACTTTGTCGTGGGACTACTGGAAGTCTCAGGGTCATGGGCAAAATTTT